ACATGAGAAGCTCGAGAAATACCAAGGGCTGAAAGAAGAGCTAGAAAAGATGTGGAAGGTGAAGGCACAAGTGGTCCCCGTGGTAACAGGAACACTGGGGGCTGTGACCCCCAAACTGGGAGAGTGGCTCCAACAGATTCCAGGAACAACATCTGAGATCTCTGTCCACAAGAGTGCAGTGCTAGGATCAGCTAAGATACTGTGCAGGACCCTCAAGCTCCCAGGCCTCTGGTAGAGGACCCGAGGAAGGAAGACATACAAGACCGCCCCAAAGTGGGGGGTGAGTGGAGAATTTTTTTTTTGTATATGCACTTACTTCTGTTCTCTCAGCCTATATTGTTTACTGAATGACATTCCGATGTTCTTGCTGTAGATCCTAGTGGTGTGGATCAGTGAGTCAATATCTTGTTCACTCCTGGCACCTTCCATAGTATATGTACTTACTTCTGCTCTCTCAGCCTATATTTTTTACTTGCCCTACTGCCATACATGAGGATATGTACATACACATTGAGAGCCAATGTACCAGAGTCAAATTCCTTGGCCAATAAAGCAGATTTTGATTCTGATTAAGTAAAACTAATTGGCAAAAAGTCATTTGGCAGATGTTTCAAAGAATACTTTGTGAATTTCCTATCTAGGTTTAATAATGTCTTAATAATCTGAAAAAAAAGGATCTAATGAATCGAATATAATAACAAAAAAATCCAATATTTCCTTTTAAAATACACACCACAGCCCAGCATGAGATGCAAGGGGCGCTGCTGGCTTTGCTTCTGGCCAGTCCTAATAAAACCCCTTTGGTGTGTCATGCTTAGTTTGCAGTGGCGCTTTGGGTCAGACCTGTTCCTAAGGAGAGCCTCATATAACCCTTTGAAGATAATATGAAAACACGATGGCTAACTTGTTCCCACGAGAAACCTCAGCTTTATTGATGCCAGATGTGATTTTATTGTAGACACCTACACACAGGTAAAATAATATTGTCCGGATAACAGTATGAGTGGGTGAGTCAGTTGTGGGCGGGAGCAACGTGTCAAAAAGGGGCAGAATGTAGATTCAAAAGCATGACTCATCAAGGCCATAAATCATCCTGGAGTTCACACCTTGAGTGACAGGCAGTGTCTTTTATATCTCTCTCCTGAGAGCTGTGAGTTGCCATGACCACTTCATTTAAATATGAATGATTTATCTCCAGCCTCTGGCAGGCAGCTGTGCTGTTTGTCCTTCTCTCCATCTCCAAACTGTGCTCCCTCTTTCATTTGGCTTTGTTTCCTTTCGTTTAATGGGTCAGAGACATTGGTCATTGTGTGGAATGTTGGTATGGGAGGGTGTTGATAAGAGAGAGCCATCTGAACTGAAGGAGCTATTGTTAGAAATTAATAAATTAGATAATTATTAGACTTTAATGTGTTAGTAATGCAATTTAGTAAGATTCAAAGTCTGCTCTAGTCTGCTTTGCTTCAAGGTTAGAAGACAATGTTGATTCTGATAAGTGTACCTTGGCGCCAATTGTTTTCTTGTATTAAATTTGTGTTAGATTTATGTCTGAATGATTGTTTTAGTTACACACCACATAACATCCACACACATCGAGCTACTGTACCTCATTTTGTTATGACTAGGTAACATGCAGCTACTCCAAGCCTGTGGAGCTCTAGATAAGAGATGGAGTCTACTGAATGGACTTCATCTGTGTAAGGGGTTAGCCCAAAAACTGATAAATGTATTAGGCTCTGTGTTTCCCGGGATCTCCTCTCCCCAGCAACCAGAGTGTGTGTGTTTCTGAAGGAAGGAACAACCCGGATTGTGTTCTGTAATCTTTATTCATATATATTTTTTAAATAAACCAGCACTAAAATCAAGAAAGATGGACTCTTTCCTTACTCAGATCTGTCCAATAAAAGAACTGGGGTATAACAACTTGGTGCTGTGACCTTCAGAACTGGCTGAATTCTGAGCTGGATTCCAGTCGGGAATGAACGGACTGCACAGATCAACACTTGCCGGCAAACAATAATAAAAGGTGAGCAGGAGCCTTTTGTACAGAATTCTGTGGGACTTCAAGATACAAACTGACAAACTGGTAATGGCCAACCACCTGGACATAGTAGTGGTGGACAAACAGAGGAAGAAGGCCATAGTGATAGATGTAGCAATCCCAAGCGATAGCAACATCAGGAAGAAGGAACATGAGAAGCTTGAGAAATACCAAGGGCTGAAAGAAGAGCTAGAAAAGATGTGGAAGGTGAAGGCACAAGTGGTCCCTGTGGTAATAGGAACACTGGGGGCTGTGACCCCCAAACTGGGGGTTTTAATTGTGAAATAATGTAAGGTCTGCCATACATTAATTCAAAAGGTCAATGCTGTGGGAATTACAAACATGTGCAGGAGTACTAATGGTAGACAATAAATCCTTTTTTTTCCCTTCCCCTGTTTTCCTCAGTTGTGCTTTAAGAGTGCCACTCTCTCTTCCCACTAACCTTGCAGGTTGTAGATGACATGCATAGTCATAGTGTTAGTTTTACATTATAATAACAGCAGCACTTCCTCCTGGCTGTGGAATAAAGCAAGTTAGTTGGTCTCCCACATGAATTCGGGGAGAATTGCTCCTCCTGCAATTCAATATATATGTTATTGGCCAAAGGAGATAGTCACAGTTTCAAGTCAGTCATTGTGGCCACCAGGTACAGTCAGTCAGAGCTTAGAATCCAAAGTCGGGTCGGTCATTTCTCTTGTGCACATTCATAGCACCACCTTGCAATTTTCCTGCCACGTTTTATTTTTATCCACCAACTGCCAATAGTTTCCTCAATTTGTCTATTAAATTCTCCCTCCATTTTTTTAGACTATGATGTCAAATTATGGTTCTAAGTTATCAATATACTCCCCTTGACTCAGTGTGTGAATGACTCCGTTGGTCAATCTGGCAGACCTACGAGACAAGCTTCTAGGCCAAGTGCGGTCTCGCACTGGGGGTTAATTCCCAGTCTTACCAAATCTTTTAATTCACGCACTAAAGTCAAGCTTCACCAACCCAATATACAGAGGACAAGATCGTGTGTTTTTTAATTTATCTCTCTCCTGGAAAAACTCCCACAATTAAAACAACAAATCTATCCCTGTGTCCTTACTAGTTTTTATCTTTTACTCTTTACATGATTGGGATCGTGTTCCTTATGTGAACATTTCTGTCTGGAACCTCTCCTCAATCTTATTTTTATTCAGTACTTTAAATTTGGAGACAACCTTTCTAATTGGTGGGTATCCACTTATCGTGGATTTTATGTCTCTTATAAACACCAAATCAAAACAGTAGGACACTTATTTTCTGACTCTAGGTGTGAGACTATGTGATTAAAACACTACATGTAGACATCCACAATTTTTTAACACATTGCAATAACTCACAGACATACAACATTTAATATATACAAATTTTTACCGGCTTTTTATATCAATGTCAAATATCAAAACTGACTACTTTAATTAATCTCGAAAGTTTCTACTTTCAAGTTGATTGTAAATTCAACTTACTTACAAGTTGATTGTAAATTCAACTCATAAGCTCTGGGGGCCTTTCAACCCAAAATTCTCTAGAGGACCTGTTGCAACCACAATCTATTTTATTCAGGACTTTATACCTGAAAAGGACGACCTAAACCAATTTTATCAAGACTTATGTACTTGAATGGACTCTTAACCTCTTCCCTATTTTACCAGGACTAATATACTACCTGGACGAAATTCCGACTTACCAATTTTATCAATATTTTTATACTGAACGGACTTTCAACCTCTTCCCTATTAAACAACTTTTATTGCTTTATTCGAAAGTCGAATTTACTGACATCTGTCAAATAATGATACTACTGAATTTAGAGTATTCATTGTGCAGAACTTTTAATCAAAGGGTGTCTGCTTACCTCTCATTTTTTCTGGCCATATGTAGTAGGATTATTTCTTCAGACGTCACAGCCAATCCCAACCTGATCCATCACGTCGGGGTCATCAAATTGCAGTGTGTTCTTTTATGAAGAATAATCAGAGTCAAATATCACCTTTCAAACATTTATTATCATAACTGAATGGACCTTCGAACAAAGCAATTTACAGAGCTCTGGGTTCCGTCTCTATCTGAAGCCCTGACCTCAACAGCAAAACCATTCAACTGGTCTTCAGGACGAGAGGGAACGCTATCCTCCTCAACTCAGTTGATTTTATACAATTTCAAATGTGCCATTGTAGGCTGGTCTGGTCCTCTCGTGCTGTTC